ACGGAGCCTGGAGTCAGCTAAGAATTCCAGCTGACCCCAGGCTCTGCCATTGCGCTGCCCCTTATTTCAAAGGGGCAGTGCTACAAAGTGATCCCAGGCTCCCGCAGCGCTGCCCCTTTGAAACGCTGCCATGGTGTTTCAAAGGGTCAGCACATCGTGGAGCCTGAGGTCAGCTGGAATCTTATTATTGTTTAACAGCAAGATTAATCACACGATTAATCATGATTAATTTTTAATTGCTTGACAGCCCTATTAATAAGCTTATTCTCTATGCCAATATCTAAATCATTGATGAAGATATTGAACAGAACCAATCCCAAAACAGACCCCTGTGGAACCCCACTTGTTATGCCCTTCCAGCATGACTGTGCACCATTAATAACTACTCTCTGAGAAGGGTTATCCAGCCAGTTATGCACCCATCTTATAGTAGCCCCATTTAGGTTCTATTTCCGTAGTTTATTATTAAGAAGGTCATGTGAGACCATATCAAATGCTTTACTATTCTGAAAATCAGCTATGAACATGCATGGCATTCATTTAAAAAAAAAATCTCATCTCTTGTTTAAAAAAAAGGACACCAGTTTATCACGCAGCCATGGTCACTTGCTGTTTAATCTTCAGTTTTTTAAATAATTTTTCAGTTAAAGGGTTAAAACAATGACCATAGATTCATAAACTTTGTGTATGTTATTTAAAAATAAAATAGACACCTTAACCTGATGGAAGTTAATTTTTTTTAAATTGCAAAGCCTAAGAAGTTGTAGGACGTTTCTAAAGTTAGCACAAATTAAAACTTGAGTGCTATAAATCCCTGAAAATAAAAAGTACAAGAAAAGTGGTTTTCAATCAAAAAGCCACAGAATTTCATTTTCAGCAGCTCAACATGCTCATTGTAGAATCAATAGCCCAAATTCAGCACTGCTTTTTTCCCCTATGTTTGTACAGTCCCTAGCACCATGAATAGGTAGCCTCTTGATGTAACCACATTACAAATAGTTTGTCCTTATGGTTTAATCACTCATAATACCTCATCAGTTATTTTGACCCTTATACTTTATTTGTATTACTCCATTTAGGCTTTAAAAATCTCACACTTAGTCTGTAAATAATGTGAGTTTTCTTTTTTGCCATTCAATAGCTACCTCTCACACTGTAATCAGCCAGGCACCATCAGCATGAAGCTTACTCACCATCACTCAACATTGCAATTCTGGAAATGACCAAATTTGAATGGATCAATACAGAAAAAGTAAAAATCTTACAAATTAATTATTTTAAGAGGAAAAATCCAGAATATTATAAAGCTGATACTTTGTTCCTTCATTCAGCTTTATGCAAACTTGTTAAGGTAAACTCATTTATCATTTAACCAAACTTGACTCCTCTTTCTTTAGATGGAGCACACAAAGGCCTGGTCTACATTAGACCAAGCAGGTTGGCTTAAGGTATGCCATCTAGCTATGTAAAATGCTCAGCTGGATTTTACTTGCCTTAAACTAAGCCACTGAGGCATCTACACTGCAGAAGGCTGACAGGACTACAGAATGAGCAGTATAGGATGCCAGCAGGGGCTGCCCTCAGCGGTCAATTTGGGGGTCTACACTAGACCCACTTAATCAAACACTATAAGATCAACCTCCAAAGGGTCAATCTTCTCCATAGTGTAGACAAGCCATAAGTAACCTCAACCTGGAACTAATGGATGCGGTTCCTCTGCTCCTTTCAGCCAGGCATTCCATCTTAATTTGTAAAATTTTAACTTTTTTTTTTTCTGTAATGCTGTTTCATTTTCTTCAGATGACCCATTCAAATTCTGTCATTTCCAGAAATGCAAGTGTGAATGATGGTATTCTTAAGACTCATACTAATAATGTCTGGCTGATTACAGTATGAGAGCTAATTCTGGAGTGAGAAAATGGTAATAAAAACTAAAAGTTGCACTCTGAAATAATAAGCAATCAGATATTTTTAAATCAATATATTTTGAATATAATTTGAAGCCAAATTAAATTGTCAAATAACCTTAACTATGACCAAATAAATAAAATAATAAACAACCCAGCCATAAAACTCAAGGAAAAGAGATTGAATAGGATTAAAATACTGTTTTAGAAGTTCCAAAAACAGACTCTCACTGCCAGAATCCAGATGAATTATTGCTCTACTGACATAGAAGTGCAGAGATAGTAGGATGGTATTTGGAGAAAAAATTGTGATGTACACATGCTGAGCTCAGAACAGTTTCCATCTTTTCATAGCATTCAAAGTATACATTAAAAATTAAGTTCTTTCAGAAATATTCAGGCATTTTCATTTAAAGAAAAAAAACAAACATGGACAATAGTATACCATACATGAATATATTAAACAGTGTTCAGTTGCTGAATATGTTCAATTGCTGTAGGCCATAAAACCAAAGAACAAACTTCTGTTAATTTATACATAATTTCTCAATACCATTAAAAACAAAACAAAACAACCCATAGTGCAGTGAACGCAGGAAAGAAAAGAGGAAATCAAGTACTTGTCTCAGGGCATGATACAGCTCCAGCTGACTTCAGTAGAAAGACACTCATTGGTTTCAACTGGGGTTCTAGCTTGCTTAAGTTCCACTATACCAAACCAGGTAAGTGGATATAGGTACTTCCTTTCAGCAGATGGAGAAAAAAAAAGACAAAAAAGTTTTATGACATCACTTTCTTTAAAAGTGGGCTGCCTGGCTCTGATCTGTTAGGATCTTCCTGAGCAATAAGACTTCTGTTTAAAAAAAAAGCCCACAATAGAAAACTAAGAAAAAAATTCTGGACAACTATCTGGCTACATCTAGACTGCAGGCTTCTTTCGGAAGAAGCTTTTCCAGAAGAAATCTTCTGAAAACACTTTCTCTGAAAGAAAGTGTCCACACTGCCAAAGCACATCAAAAAGCTATCTGTTTTTTTGAAAGATAGCGTCCACACTGAATAGACGCTATCTCACTTTTAAGCTGTGATTACTATGAACAGAGTGACCACCAGGGCACCTGTGCTTTTTCCTCTTTCCTCTTCTTTTGAAAGAACTCCCTCTTCCCCATCCACACACACCTTTTTCCGAAAGATCTCTTTTGGAAAAAGACTTCTTCCTTGTAGAAAGAAGTTTACCAATGTCAGAAAAACCCCTCTGTTCTTTCGATTTTTTTAAAAAGAATGCGATTGCAGCATGTACATAAGTGAAGTTTGTTTGTGGGGGTTTTTTTCTGAAAAACTGCTGTTTTTCCGGAAAAAAAAACCTCTGTAGTGTAGACAGAGACTCAGAAACAACAACTGGAAATGGATATCTGGGTTGCTATGTACAGGATTTGGAAAAAAATCAAATTAACAGAAAAGGAATTACCTGTCCCCAACATCCTTCTATGTCCTCTTAAGCAAATCGGAATTTCAAGTAACTAATATCAGAACAGAGGGTGTATCTACAAAACACTGAAAAAATGGATAAACCACAGCATGCAGCTGTCTTTGAAAGGAAGAGCATTCAAATCTGAAATAATATGAAAGATATAGATATATATAGATATATGAGAGTTAACCTTAATCAAAGAGCCACAGAACCTTGGATGTGGAAAATACAGGCTGCCTGTGCACAGGAAGAGTGAGATAGTCATTCTAAAAAACTCTTCACGTACACTTGCTCAAGAATTAGGCTTATAATCAAAGGTGACCAGGAGCTTCATGATCAACAGGTCTATAGACCAGAGGATCACACCTCAATATGTGCACATGTGACCAACTGAGATGACTCCTGAATTGCCTACCTTTTATAGATGAGGGAACAACGTATGGATGATAGTGTTCATTCAGCCTTAGAGGCAATGATTCCCAAAATACAAAAAACAGTTCTCTTGCTACTTTGCACTTTATTTAGGAACCTATAAGGTCATTTAAAATGTATCATCAAGAATAAGGGTTCCTGCTGTTCCAATTCTTCTAGCTAGATCTAATTCACTAAGCCAGACTGCCACAAAATTTGGGGCTACTATATTATGAATGACTGATAATGGTAGAATATTCCTTTCTTGTTACAAGAAGATTTTAAATTTTGATTCTCCGTGTATTTAATTTTTATGCTTTCTGCCCTCAAACTTCATCTTATGCTGACATGCTATATTTAGATCTTTGCTACCTGGCCTTTAAACTCTAAGCGTCTTACAATTTTTATAACTGGTGTCTGTCTGTCTCTGTCTCTCTCATTTGTTCACAGATTTCTTAGTCTGTGGTCCTCTGAACTGGACATAGCTAAGACTTCATTAATGATGAGTAGAGGGGCACAATTATCTACCAAATTGTACATATTCCTGTTAATACGCCTCAGGTTTTACATATAACACTCCTAGCACACCTCACACACGATTTACTCATATAAGACAGTCAACATGGGACCTCTTACATTGGGTCTACTTCCATTAAGTCACAAGACCTCTCTATGTACAGAGCCAAAGCTCCAATCAACTGACTGTTAAGAAAAAAACCAGATGTGTCCAAATCAAAAGTCTGCTTTTTATTGGGTATTCCCTGGCCTAGAGAGATAATGAAACTGCCTGCAACTAATGTGCAATATCTCTAAATGCTCCAAAGAAAAAAATTTAAAAAATAGTAAAGTACCCTGCCTAAATGACTGTAACTAAATCCAGACAGCTGAAGAGAAGATATTTTCCAAAACACAGGGGAAAAAAACCCAGAGCCTGAAAGGCTATCCAGCTATCCAACTGCTAGAGTCTAAAAGACAACCAATCATGATCAACCAGTCAACTTTACAAGGGGTTCCCTTATAAATTATATATATGTCATGATAAATGTTTGCCTGTTTCATGTGTCAGTAGAAAGAATTATTTCACTTTATTTGGAGTAGCATAGGACAGTAGAGAATTTAACATTATAAAATGGAAACAATGCACAAACATAAAATCACAACTCTTTGAATGCTACCTTTCTGTCACAAGTATCCCTACATCACATTTTTCTTACGCTGCGTTTAGATGAATAATTTCATCCTCTGCTGCCAAAAGGGTAGTGGCTGATTTGGTCTTTGTCTCTTCAAGAGCCATCTGGGCTTCTGCCAGACTGCAAAAGAAATTAATAACTACAATATACCTTTAAATTAAAGGTTCAGATTTTCGGAGTCAATTTTGCATGACAAACCAACTATTTTAGCAGACTTTTTTGCAGATTTTACATAAATAATCTGCAAAAGTCATATCTGAGTCAACTGTACCAACAGAATTACTGTGTTGTTGTAACACTTTGCTATTAATCTTATAAAACTCCAGTTCCTCTCTCTCACTCACTCATTTTATGTTCCAATTTGTCTCCATTATCCATAATCTGGTATAATCTCTGAACATGAGCACTCCATTTGCTAACCTGCCCATCTCCAGTTCCACAATACTGCCTGTTTTTCACTACCTTCATAGCACTGCCATCAAAATTTTCATTAATTTCTCTTCTTGACTTAACTAGCACAATTCTGTCCCCAAGTCCCTGCTTTCTAGATTCTTACATGCACAAAATATTGCTGCCCACTTTCATACATGTAATTCTGCAAAGGAAGGCAATTATGCCACCATCATCCTGTACCATTATTTGAGCAAACTACAGTCAACAATTTTACTAAGCCAATAAGCCTATGTCAACACTAGTAGTTTTGTTGATCTAACTTGTTACCCAGTGGCGTGAAAAAAAAAATCTCCTTATGACACAAAAAAGTTACACCACCAGAACTGCCAGGTTAGACAGCACTACGTCTGTGGGAGACACTCTCCTACTGATATAGAGCATCTATAGGAGCACTATAAGTGGCCCAGTTGCATTGTTATAACTGTGCCACTGTAAGGTCTCTAGTGTAGACATGGTCTAAATGAAGTCCTGGGTATTTTAGGAAAGATGCATCCCAGAATCAACAAAGAGCTTGAAGACCCTTTATCAGTGGCATTTGTATTGCTTCCTTTCAAGATTAAAGTTGCCAGCCATCCTTTAACATCCAATACTGACACTCAAGAGATCGTTTTGTTAACAGCCTTCGTGGTTATCAATCAATAATCTTTCTTCAGTCCCTACAATTCTAGTTTTTGACAGATGGTATTGTTATCTTTGGGTGACTATCTCCTTCTATTAATGAAAAGAGGTTATTTAGTTAGATCTATACAAAGGTTGATGAAAAACCTATCTAAACCTTGTGGCCATTAGGATCAATTTATTTGTTCATCTGAAAGATCCCAAAATGTTGCAAAGACACTTCCCCTCGTCCCCCAAGAGCTCTCATATGGGAGCCTTCAGTATTCCATCTTATCTCCTATCAGGTTCAATGTAGGTATTGACAGCACAAGGAGATTGTGAGATGTCTTGTGCTACAGTATCCTCAACATGAAGAAGTCACTTAAGTCTACATCTCCTTTTCATCTAATCTGGACACCTTGTATTTGCTTTCCTAGAGTTTGTTAAAAGAGATGGAGACAGGATCAAACTAATTCATGTTCAACCAAAATGGAGGCAGAATGATGCTGATATGCAGATAGAAAACAGTGGAATGAACCATAATTGAAACTATACCATTTATTGAAGCTGTTAGTTCTGATTTTCACCAATATGGCTTTACCATTTTTTTACTATTGCCATTCTTGGAATTCCAGATGAAAGCAAGTCTATATAATTCTTTGGCTCAAAGGCTGAGACCATTTCTTGTTATTATGATTCTTGCCACAGCTGCACGACTGTATTTTTAAACTGTCTAGAAGAGTGCAACATACTTTGCTGGAGCAACCCTTGAAAGCACTTGGAAGTGTCAGCAAGAGCAGAGTGCTGTGATTTGCTTCTTGGAAAGGGCAAGTAATTTTGATCTGAAAATACCAGCGTTTCACACTCCACACAGGCTAGTATGTGCAGTTCAGGGTTAAATGCCAGCTCTTCAGTCCCAACTAGTTATTTGAAAGACTGTCTCTCTCCTTCTGTCTTGTCGCAATGCTTATGATCTGCTGAGATGGTCATGTTATTGTTCCTGTGCTATACCCTTCTAGGACTGGCAGCAGGATATTCTCACTAGTGAGTATATATCTTTGGACTTTGCTCCATCTAGTGCTCCACTAGAATCTGGAACACTCCAGAAATAAAAATGACTATTTGAGCACAAATTATGGTGAAATACTGACTCTCAAATTAAAGGAGCAAAAAAATTTTCAATAGTTAAAACATAAATGTGCAGATAGATTCAGTCCTACTGCTCACAGCCATTTTTAGAGTTTTAATTACCTATGACAACAATGAAAACATTACAGAAAACATAGCACTGTTCCTACATGAACCTCCTTGCTGTTTTAATTTTAATAATATGCCTCTATATTTCACAACTATAATAGCTTAGTTTTATCTAACACTAAAATGTTAAATAAATATAGTAAATGAAGATTAGCTTAAATTAATTATCCATAGTTCAGCTATTTATTAAGATAAATAGTTGCTTCAGTGTCAAAGATGTTACTGTTGTGACTGTCCCCCATTCACATTTGAAAGGCAAGAGACAACTGCAGGGAATGGACAGTAACTTTCATGTAAGGATACTAAAATGTAGTGTCCCTCAAGCATCTATTCTGCTATGCCTATGTTGTCTGACACCCACAAGAGGGCTCTTGGTGAGATAGGGCCAAATCCTACTTCCATTGAAATCAATGGGAGTTTTGAAACAGAATTCAGTGAGAGTAGAATCACAGACATAACTTCTAATCACTAGAGTATTAGTGTGCTGCTATGCACCTATATGGCTACGTCTACACTACAGAGCTCCGCCTTTTTTTGCGGAAGAGCAGACGTGCTCCTTTGGAAGCCCTATCTTCCTCCTCCTACGAAGAATAAGGGCTCATCCGAAAGAGGAGGCTTTTCTGAAATTGTAAATAGTTAGCTAGGATATTTGGGCATTCTTTTCAATTATAGCTCCTCTATGAACTGTCATGTTTTGTATATGAGAGATACAGTATAGGTAAGGTGATAACTTTTATTGGACCAACTTCTGTTAGAATGTAAGAACGGCCATACTGGGTCAGACCAATGGTCCATCTAGCCCAATACCCTGTTTTCCAACAGTGGCCAATGTCAGATGCTTCAGAGGGAACGACCAGGAACAAGCATTCATCGAGTGATCCATCACCTATCATTCATTCTCAGCTTCTGGCAAAGAGAGACTGGGAACAGAGAGCATGGGGGTGGCATCCCTGTCCATCTGTGCTAACACCCATTGATGAATCTATTCTCCATGAATGTATTAATTCTTTTTTGAACCCTGGTATAATTGGTGGAAGATACAAGCTTTCAAACTACACCAAGTTTTTCTTCAGGCCTGGGGAAAGAAATCAGAATACTAAATACAAATTGGGACAGATAGCTAAGCACTCTTAAGAAGTCAGAAAGAAAGCGACAGAGCCTAAGATTGAATCCACTACAGCTTGGCTAGTGGTTTGCTCTGAATTGACCAGAATGGATTATACTCGAACCTTCACTATACTAGTCTAAGAACTTTCAATGATATGTAATAAATTCTACTCTGCTTTGAAAACATTGCTTGAGCAACATCAGTACACATACTTGATAAGGCACATTTGTCCCTGAAAAGTGTACAAGTCTCTGTCAACCAGGAGTCTAGCTCAATTAGACTCACTAGGCAGATCTCTCTATATGAAGCAGGAGTACTGGAGTCCAGAGGTTCAGGCTAAAAGTTGGTGAGACTGGGAGGCCTACCCTGAAGCTAAAGAGTAGGACTCCCTGGAAGTGTGCCACACTGAAGTGGTTTTTACAAGAGACTGTTTAAAAGCTAGGACATAAATATCCTGTGGATCTGCTTAGTTATGTGTTCCAACTTGGATTTAACTCAGGCACTCTGATTTCATTCCCCAGATCTGAAGAAGAACTCTGTGTACTTTGAATGTTTACTTCCACCCACAGAAGTTGGTCCAATAAAAGACATTACCATATTTACCTTGTCTCTCAGATATCCTGGGAGCAACATGACTAGAACCATAAAAACCCTGTATCTTTGGATTAATCTAAAATGCATCATATATGGCATAAAAATGTCCTCCCCTGTGCAACATGCAGTACTGAATCTATATTAAATAAGTTATCAGTATTATGATAAAAAATAATTCACGGCAAAATGTTTAATTTCTGCCAGGCCTGTTGTTTTTCAGGCAGTTAATTTGATTTTTTAAATTATTTTAATTTTTTAAAAAGCAGTGAATTTACTTACTAGAAGACATTTAATGCCTTGGGCATACAGTATCCTTCAAATTCAGAAAATCCAGAGTCTAGACACATTTTCGATTCTTATTTCAAAGCAGAAATGGAATATTTTACAAAACTATTAGAAGTGAGGTTTGAGAAGAAAAATAATTTTGTAGTTGAAAAATATACAGTTAATTCTCCTACTCTTGTTGCACTAAGCTGAGTTGTAAACGAGTTGAATTCAGTTCTTTCTCCAGATGTTGTAGTTCATGGTTCCGAGTGCTGGCAAATTCCCTCAGCTGCCTTTCTCTCTCAATTGACTCCTACAGTGAAATATAAACAACACAGCATTTGAACATTATTATGCCTGAAAGTTAGACAGCATTTCCTTAGAACAGTGATTTTCAATCCATGGACCTCTTGGGATCCACAGGCTATGTCTAAGAAGTCTGTTAAAGGTCGATGTCACCATGGAACACCAGTTTCCAACCTGGGTCTGCAGGCCAAGATTTCCAATGGCTCCATACCTCCATTCAAAATTTTTGGGAGGTCCACAAATAAATACAGGTTGAAAACACTGCCTTAGAACATCTCATAACACTGCCTTAGAAGGTCTCTGCATTTCTGAAATGATGCAGTAAAAAAAATTTCTAAATTAGTCTTAAAGAAAATATTTGTACTTGTTCAAACACAGAGAAAGAGAGAGAGAGAGAGAGCACAAAAAAACCAGAGCACTGCAGTAAAAGTTACAATAAAATAGTAAAGCACCACAAACTATATTACACAGCTACATATATGGATATGCACACAAACATCCACACACAACTTTTTGGTCCATATTTTTTCCTTCTAGTAAACTTTAATAAATGTTTAGAACTAAATATGTCAACAATTCTTTTTATGCATTCATTGGTTCACTTTACACATTAATGGGCCTACAAAATAATGGGGAATCTTAAGAACAAATTAAACAACTACTGTAACTGCTTTTAATACCACATTGCATTCCCCAATAAAAACTAAATGGATTAGTACTGTAGTTATGCACTGGGTTTCAATTCTGATTTTGAAGGTGAAAATCCATGAATTATCACAGAGATTATTTCTTTCCCCGCACACTTTTAAGTATGGTCATTTGTTAAAAAAAAAAAAAAACAACAAATTAAGAGAAAGCTGATACTAAGTACAGACCCTAGTCAGATTAATCCTAATCATTTTATTAATGGAAAACTTATTTAAACTGGACATTATTTATTTGTGGGGAAAGATTTCAAGTGAGAAATGAGGGAGAGCATGAAGACATTTGTTTTTGGCCCCCCTGACCTTCAATACATTTTTTCAAATCTCCCCACTAGCAGAAAATACTGTTTTCTTCCAGAACACACAAGAGTGCCACAGGATGTCTGCATCTCCAGCACCAGCACTGTAAACAAAATCTTTTGTAAATCTTATGAATTGTGCAGGGAAAAAGAAAGGAAACACACACTGTTGCTATTCTAGTCCTCAAAGCTAGGTACATGTGGTTTCATGATTTATATTTATTTCCTGTAAAAAAAATTCTAACACCACATGTATCAGAGCCCAAGCTTCAAAAGAAGAACCAACTTTCAGCAGGTATGGGATGTTTGGTACAGCCAACCATCAGTTTACATGAAGGCTATGTCTACACTGCCATTTTTTTCGGAAAAAGATACGCAAATTGCAAACCGCAATTTGTGTATCTTTTTCTGTTTATTTTTTCAGAAGAGGCTTTCCTGACATTTGGCCTGTGTACATGGGGCCAAATGTCAGAAAAACCTCCTATTTTGGAACATCCCTTATTCCTCATAAAATGAGGAATACAGGGTTGGCGAAAAAACGCACCCGGCTTTTTCGGAAACTGTTCCCTGGACACGGCAGAGTTTTTCCAGGATACCTCTAGACAGTGCTTTTTTTGTAAGTAAAAAGGTACTCTGGGGCAAACTTGTTGCGCAAAAAAAAAAAAAAAAAAGTGCCGGGCGCCGAATGCGGTTGCGGCCCCTTTAAGAACCACAGTGCTGTGCTGGGAGCCAGAAAAAAAAACCACTGCATGTCCCAAGCAGGCTTCTGTCAGGAACTGAGCCGCCCCAAGCCACCCTAGGAAAACAGGTGACAGTACGCGCAGGGGAAATTCCATTCCTTTTCTGTGGGCTGAGGAAATAGGTGACGGTATGCCGTTCCAGGTAGTACCATCACAAAAAAAGCACTGCCTCTAGATAGTCTAAACACAGTCGAAGAGTTTCACAAAACACTAAGTTGCTTTCAATACAGGTATGGTATAAAGCAAGGGTCTGCAACTTTTGGCTTTTGAGCCAAATATGGCTCAGTATGGAACTAAATATGGCTCTTTTGTCATTCCCAGAATACATGCAACTTTTTAAATTAAAATGAAAAATTCAAAATTTTAAAAAAGTGTAATTACTCATGTAGCTTGAATGCATGCATGAACCTAAATTTGACCAGTTAAGATGTAAACCTCAAAGAAATGTGTGGAAAGATGCCTTACCTGATTAAGTTCATTAACACAAGCAATTTCTTCACTGTACAGGCAGTCCCTGGGTTACGTACAAGATAGGGACTGTAGGTTTGTTCTTAAGTTGAATTTGTATGTAAGTCGGAACTGGTACATATTGTAGGGGAAACTCTAGCCAAACATTTCTCCAGAGCTCAGTTTTATTCTCCCACACCTCACTTCCCTCAGTCCTTTATTCTCAAGCTGAGGTGTCTGCTGAGAAAAGCCGCTCCGCGTCTCCCTGGTCTGCTGTGGGGGGGCGCTAGCTTCGCGTCTCCCTGGTCTGCTGGGGGGAAGCAGCTAGTGCAGGGTTGCCTCACCCCGTTTGTAAGTAGGGATCCAATGTAAGTCGGATCCATGTAACCCGGGGACTGCCTGTACAATGTTTAATTTATGCTATTATAAATCATCATGTCAATTATAAATAATATTAATTTGTATATTTTCAGTCATGCAGATGGGCATTCTTATATGGCTCTTTCAGAACACTTGTTCTGAATTTTGATGTAGTTTGGCTCTGGTTTGAAAAGGTAGCCAACTCCTGGTGTAAAGTCTTATGCTGATGTAACCGCACACTTATAATTAGCATCTTTATGTACCTTGATATAAACATGTACATAAGGCACTAGTGTCATGTACAAAATAAAAGAGCTTAAAGCAGGAGTGGGCAATAATTTTTGCAGGGAGGTCACTTTATGACACTTTATGTGGACAAGTCTATCTCTCCCCCTTTGGAAGAGGCAGAGCCTCGGATGGAAGGGTAGGTCTACAAAGAGTGAGAAAATGAGTGCAAAACAGAGACACTCTATATGCGAGACAGACTGTGTGACACAGATTGAGTATGTGTGGCGCAGACAGAGCAGTGTGTGTATGGCACAGAGACAGTGTGGCACACACTGGGTATGTGTGAAAGTGATACAGAGAGTATGTGTGCTGCAGGGTAATATTCTGAAAGAAGCCATGTTTGTCTCTTTAAGGCAGGAAAAGCTGTCCTGCTCTGTGTTGTCTTCTTCCTGCCCCACTCTTCAGAGATGGAGTATTGGGGGAAGTGTGTGTGTGAGAGAGACACACACATGCACTGAAATCTTAGAAACACCATCTTAGATGGTGACATTGCCACTGCCTCAAAGTAGGCTCTCCTCTGAGTCACTTACCATCCATGCTTCAGACTGGAGCCACTCTGTTGTGTGGCTCTCTCTGCCAGACCCCTGTTCTGCGGAAATGATACAGGGGCAAGGGGACACCATGACTTCAGCACTCCTCTCTTCCCTTCACCCCTCACCCCCATCCTGCACAGCTCACAGGAGAATCCTGGTAGCAGCTCAGCTCCAAGAAAGAGCAAGCTGGGGCAGTTGAATACACACTGCTGACTGTAAGTATGCACACTCTGCTAATCAGTGGGACGAGCCAGAGAGAAGTGCTTGGAGGGCCGGATCCAACCTCCGTACTTGAGTCTTCCCACCCTTGGTTTAAGGCCTACCAAGCTAATTTAGTGAAATTAACTTTCATGATTTCTTTCATTGCCTTTTTAAAGCTTTAAAAAAACCTAAAAATGACAATTGTAACAATTAACAACTGTGGAAATAGTTTAGAAAGCAAACTGGGGGGAAACCTTTGTAAAAAAAAAAGTTATTTTTTTAATTACAGGAAGTCTTTGGTTTATATATTTTTATCATTTTAAAAATAAACATTCAGCATACCTGGATGAGAGAGAGACTTGTTTCAAAGGGCCTTCCTGAAGTAGTACTGGAAAAACAAGTCCCCAGCCATGGCAGAAGACGGGATTTTATTGTTTCTACGCCTGCATAATGGCCACCTAAAAAAACACGTAAACCAGGTATATATCAGAAAATGCAAAGATAAAACCTGAGTCTGCACTTAAAAAGAAAATGGAGGTGATACATACAAACCTTGGAGACATGGAAAATTCTCACCTTCTCGAGCTGTTTGATTGAGGATTGTGAAGAGCTGCCCCTGAATCATTGAGTTCATTTCTATGATTTCACAACATCGGTTCAGATTCTGATCACATGTGTTAATCTGTAAATCAGAAGAATTAAATGTTTGGGATTTTTTGTTTTGACTTGAGTAATTATAGATATGATGTAGATTGAACATGATCAAAAGCTTCCGAGGGGTAGCTGAGTTAGTCTATAAACTGGAAAAAACTTAAAAACAACAAATAGTCTAGTAGCACCTTAAAGACTAACAAAACATGTAGATGGTATCATGAACTTTCTTGGGCACAACCAGCTTCTTCAGATGACTGGAGTATTGAAAGTCTAGATCCAAGAATAAATAAGGGAAGGCGGGGTATGGGGCAAAAGGAAGGGAAAAAAAGACAGTGAATAGATTGTTCAAATTACAAGAGGCTGATAAGAACAATTAGCACCTCCATTGTTTGGTTGGTTACTTAAGTCATTAGGATGTAGAGTCTAGTGTGTGAGCCAGCTGATATCCCTGTTCATTCCATTCTGATAACAATCAAACTTGTAAATGAAGTTAAGTTCCAATCATTCCCTGTGTATTTGGCTTGTGGAATTGGCCTGAAACAACACAGTGGTTGCAGATCCATTAATGAGTGCACGGGCAGGTTAAGGCATTCTCCAACAGGTTTCTGTGTGTTGCCTTTTCAGATATCTGATTTGTGTTAATTAATTCTTTCCCGTGGAGACCGTTCAGTTTGGCCAATATACATGGCAGTGGGGCATTGCTGGCATATATCACATTAGTGGATGTGCAGTTAAATTAACCTCTGATGTAGTGGCTGATGTTGTTGGGGCCAGTGATGAAAAATGTAGATATGTGGGCAGAGTTGGCATCAGAGCTGATTGCAGAGGTGGGTTCCTGGATAATTATGATGAAGGTGTGTTGCGTGGTTACTAGAAAGAATATTTTTGAAGTTTAGGGGGTTGTCTGTAGGCGAGGAATGGCCTTTCCTCCAAGGCCTTTGAGAGTGAGGGGTCATTTTCCAGGATAGGTTGTAGATTGTGGTTAATGCGTTGGAGGGGTTTAAGTTGTGGGCTGTAGGTCATCACAAGTGGAATTCTGTTGTTTTCTCTTTTTGGCCTGTCTTGAAGTAGTTCATGTCTGGGTACTTTTTTGGCTCTTTCAGTCTGTTTTTTCCACTTCTCCAGGTGGGTATTTCAGTTTTAAGAATGCTCTATATTGATCCTGTAGGTTTTTGTCTCTGTGTGATTGTAGCAAATCCAGTTGTATTTTAGGGCTTGGCTGTATACAATAGATTGAGAAATGTGTCTGGGATGGAAGCTAGAGTAATGAAGGTAAGTGTAGAGATCCGTAGGTTTCCGGTATAGGGTAGTGGAAATTTGTCCATCATGTAATTGTACTGCAGTGTCAAGAAAGTGGATCTCTCATGTGGATTGATCCAGGCTGAGGTTGATGGTGGGGTGGAAGTTGTTGAGATCCCTGTGAAATTCTTCAAGGGTCTTTCCCATGGGTCCATATGATGAAGATGTCATCAATATAGAGCAAGTAGAGAAAGGGTGCTTGGGGCGAGAGTTGAGGAGGTCAGCCATGAAGACGTTGGCATGTTGTGAGGCCATGCGGGGGCCGATAGTTGTGCTACTGACTTGAAGATACAAATTGTCTCTGAATCAGAAGTAGTTGTGGGTGAGGACAAAGTTGCAGAGCTCTGTAACCAGGTGTGCAGTGGTGTCATTGGGGATGGTGTTCCTGATAGCCTGTAATTCATCTTCATGTAGAATGTTGGTGTAAAGAGCTTCTACATCCATGGCAGCCAGGATAGTATTTTCAGGTAGATTCCTGATGTTTTGTAGTTTCCTCACAATGTCGGTGGAGTCTCAAAGATAGCTAGGACTGCTGGTAGCATAGGGTCTGAGGAGAGTGTCAATATTGCCAGATAATCCTGTTGTAAGTGTGACAATACTTGAGATGATGAGTTGTCCAAGATTTCCAGGATTGTGTATCTTGGGTAGCAGATAGAAAACTCCTGGTTAGGGATTAGGGGACGGAGTGTTAGTGTAAATTTGGTCCTGAGCAGTATCAAGCTTTTTTTAAATAACTTTGTCTGATTTCATTACTGCTTCCTAAACCATCATTAGAATGTTCAGATACCTCTGAGTGGGGAGGGGAATAATACATGTTAATAGTTATACTACAGGCTGGGAGTCAGGCATTTAAGGTCCTATTTTCAATTCTATCAATGACTTATTAGGTTAAAAATCTTTCACCATCTCTATGCCTCAGCTTTCCCCTTTCACAAAATAGATACAATAATACTTACCTACCTCAAGGAAGTGGCATGAAAATTTATTAATGATTAAAAGGTGGTACAAAAATCATTGGATGAAAAGATCTTACATAGGTGGAAAATATTTTCTGCAGGCTAGTTGAAATAAACCACACATAAGGTTGCTTTGTTTCAGTATGTATGAAACCAGCTAAAATCACCTGTAAGCTGTATGGAACTATTGACAAGGCAATAGCATTCAAGAACAGGGAGAAACTCGCAATATGTCCTTAATGCAAAAAGCAGCAAAACAAATTACAGAAAGCTTTCCATTATCTGATGGAATTACTGGAATGAAATTTGCCCAGGACACTACTGCCAATGCTATATCTCTCAAGAAGACCTCTATGACCGGGCATCCGGCCATTCTGTTCATCAGTCCCTTATATCCACCTTTCAGTGCAGCCTTCCACCCCACCCCAAGTCCCCGTGTCCCGAAATTGGCCCCTTTTTGGCCAGTTGCAGTCTGTGATTGGCATATTCCGACCTGGCACTGCGACAGGCGTGTCCCTCTGTAGCTCAGTCTCTCGATGCCCCTCTGCGTGGGTCGCGGGGAAAAGGGGGGCCCGGGCCCACCCCCTCTCACCGGCCCCAGCCCAGGGCCCTAAGGATGCGGACTAGACTTGTAGCCCAGTCTGACTGGCGGGGCTTTTCACTTTAACGCGCCAGTCCACGAGCTTTCCCTTTGCCCGCCCTGGGCTACTTCCTTTCCCCGCTTCCGGCCCCCGAGCAGAAGCAATGTTGCCAGCTTGGGCCCGTCTCACCTCCCTAGGTCAGAATTCCACAGGCTCCCTCTGTCCGTGGCCTGTCTCTCCTCTCTGCCCTCCGCCTACTGCGCTCCTTCTGGGGTTTTAAATCTCCCGGCTGGGCACTCGCGTCTACGCCGGGACCTCGTCCCTTGCTGGCATGCCGATGGCGGTGACGTCACTCTGCGTCCATCCGCCGTCCGCTCCTCTCCCGGGCAGCTGCATCTCCCAGGCAGCTGATCGCCATGTGCGCGCTCGGCGGCCGCCGAACAGCTGGCGCACCGCTGATATCGTGCCCCCTTGGTCGCCACACAGGCGGTGATCGGCGGCCCTCCAGTGCGGGGTGGCTCTGCCCTGTCACAACCTCTAAGAGGTCTTCACAGACAATGATCAGTATTTCTATTTACATGTAACATCTGAAATAACTGCACCTCCAGGAGTACAAGTGCACCAATCAGCTGAATTACCAAAAATAATGATATGGATATTTATAACTGAAATGTTCTTGATTTTAATTAACCTTTCAAATCCTTCAATTTTGGTGTTTGCTGAAAAGGAGCATAGAATTATTAGTATCTTGGGTGCTGAGGCCAAACCACCAACTTATCTTGAAGGTGTGTTTTCCACAGCTTTATCCCTATCTTGTCAAAACAGGATGCAAAGGTACAGCAATACTACTGAATGGATGTTGTTTCCTGTTCAGCTACCTCCTAATCTGTATTTGTATATATCTGACCTGGTTTTAACCATGAAAAAAAAAATCAGTGGTGATGGAAAATTTTTGTAAGAACTGAAAAAAAAGCACGATCCTCTGCCGCAAAGCCATTCTCATGGTATTTTCATAGTAGATGTACTTGGCATCAGAAGAGTCGTCTGGCTAATCTAAATGCAAAGACCAGCTCTCAACAGCCTGATCCTTCAGCTTGACTCTGCTCCAATAGTTGTGCAAGAACTGGCAAGAACTGTGCCAGTAAAATGGGAGATCCTGGAGTATCATCTGGGAAGCATGGACAGCAGCAGCACTAGAGTTCCCAGGATGTCAGAGTAGAGGCCCGAGCTATGGATGCTTAGGATGCAAGAGTAGATTTGGGTGCAAACAGAGTTCCAGTTGCAATGAGAGATTTCTGGTGTCTGATAACCAAGACAAGAAATGCTCTGAAGCCACAAGTGATGAGACCATATTGCCAATCACCACCTCCTTCAAGCATCTGAATGCAGGAGTAAAAAATACAGAGGCCTTGATATTGAGCAACCAGGAGTCCAGGGGCTTTGGCAAAGGCATGTCAAGGAACTGCTGTTGCGATGCCTCCTGACTCAAACTCCTGCTTGTAGGTTCTACTTCATCCCATTAGCCTGAACTCAGTGCCATCTCATCCTTTTGGCTACATTGGTGATGTAGAAGACTTCTGAGTTGAAACTGTCTGGGCATATGATGAGTGCATATGATGACTTGTGCAGGAAATATGGTACCTGTGCATATCAATATAACAGATAAGTCTTTGACTTTGTGAGGCTGTGCTGACAGAGTCTGAAACCACCAGCAGTTTCTTTCCCTTTTAAATGCCATACTTGCCAGCCAACATGGATGTGTGTTGAAGGAAGTGCCAGACCAAGAGGAAAATATAAGCACCATGAAGGTTGCTAGGTACCCTAATGAAAAACTGACACCGTAACTGAAGTGTCGATGCATATAGACCAGTGCTTACACAGGCACCAAAGAAAAAAGAACCCAGCTGTTGTACAGAAGGTACGGAGGTACTGAAAACATCAAAGGAAAAAATAGCACGTATCAGAGCTTTTCTGCACCTTTTTACCGAGGCAAGTGCCAAAAATGGAGGGGGGGGGGTTGGGTCGGGGGGGGGGGGGGGAAGGCACACAAAAAGCGGAAGCAGAAGAGCTACAGACATGTGTTGAGGTAGTCAATGCAAGAGTCTCGGTGCATAGCACAGATGCACATGACCTGACTAGAAGTTAGAGAAGATATGGTAAAAGATCCCTGGAGACTGCTTGATTTTCAAAGGAGCTTGAGCAATGGCTAATGAGAAATAATCTTCTGTGGGGAGTTCCTTCAATGACCAAGGTCAAAAAAGAAATGGCTAATATTCAAAGGGGTACATTTATTCTCAGATCTTGGTACATGTTTCCCTCAAGGGTTACAAGTCTTTAAATTCCTGGGGAACTCTGCCAGTTCCATATTAAGAAGATAAGGCCCAGAAATAAGAATCTTGCAATGATTGCATTTTTAGGAACAGTTCAAACACCTTGTTCTCACTTTCAAGGGTCTGCATAATTCTGCCTTTTATATAAATCTAATTTCCTCTTTGTTCCCCAGCTTGCTGCTGTACTTTATCTACATTCAATACTTGTCACAGTACCACAGGCAACATTTAACAGAATAGCTACAAAGAACATTCAGTACCATGTTCAATAGTTTTGTTATCTGCAAGGAATAACTTCATTTTGGTATTAAGTTATAATTACATTATCTTTTCAGTTATACAAAAAAAATAGTTTAAAAATATTTCAGACATGAAATAACTGTAAAGTGAATTGAGTTTCAAAAACAAGTCATTTGTTCTAATTTTGAATTTCTAATAATTATTAATGGGTCTGATTTTTTTAAAAGAATTTCATAGTTCTCAAACTGATATGTCTCAAAGGTGTGACACTATAATCAGCTATACATACTTTGAAATTTTAAAGAAACAAAAAAAAATTATATTCCATTTCCACAGCAGCAACTGGAGATGGGGGGTAATGTCTACACAGCAGTGCTGAATAAGCTATACAACTTCAGCTACCTCAATTGCACAGCTTAAGTTGAAATGGCTTATTTCAGCTTCTGGCACTATCTACACAGCAGGAAGTCAAAGGAAGAACACTCTTCCTTCGACTTTTCTTACTCCTTGTAAAATGAGGGTTACAGGAGTCAGAGTAAGAAGTCCTCCAGCTCGACATTGTTTTGAAATAAAGGCTTGAAGTGTAGACACACTCTTTGTTATTTTGGAATAACGTCAGTTATCCTGAAATAATGCTGCTGTGTAGACCTATCTGGAGAGATCCTTGCCAGAGGCTTTTGAGAATCTTTGCGGAACAAGCTGTATTATGTTGTGGCAAGCAATAAAACATTTCTTGTCTAACTTTTCTCAGTATTTAAAGGTCTTCTTATATTCCTTGATGTTTATGATACTCAACAGCTTTCAAGGCAGCTATTGTGCTTGCCTAATATCTAGCACAGAGTGTTTTCAAAAGTATTATAAGGAGTTATAAAGTTAAATGGAGGGCACTGTTCTCCTTCCAGGAAAAAATATTCTTTTGGTGGAGTATTATTCACTGTGAAAGAGTGGTCCTGGTGATTTTGCAAAGATGTGAAGTTGTATTTTGGCAACTAATCTTTTCTTTAATCTGATCAGATGAGTGAATCAGAGCCACAAGAGATGAACGGGAAAATCAGCAGTCTCTGCTTCAAGTTGTCTCTGGCCTCCTATGTTGCATTTATAGTATCAATAGGTGTCAGTTACTATAGTAACCACAACAATGTCTGGAAACCAGCGTCCTTGGTTACTGCTTTCCCGGGAAATCACTGGAAGTATCCAACACTTAGCAGCCGCTTAACACAGCCTTCCTCAGTGGCCTAAATTTACAATAGGAGACAGCTGTAGCAGTAGTTATAGTGGCTATTCTTCCCCCATTCATTTGACAAAATTGAAACGCTAATTCCCGAACTGGCTCATTCTACGAAATCCTTTTGGAGACACAAATGTAGAGACAAGAGGCACAATTCCAACCACTCCATCAAGCCGCGCTGTAGCTGGAAGCCTTTTTTCCCCACCATGGCAAATCGCCTCCCTTTGGACCGTCAGGCTAGTAAAGGACATAAGTCTAGAGCAGCAACTTTAGACTCCCCCAAACAACCCCGGGATTCAAATCGCTTCAAAGGCTCGCGGCGGGGAACAAAGAGGAGACGCGTGTGAACCACACACACACACTCACGTGGTAATCTTTGTACCAGTTCTCCAGCTTCTCCTGCAAAATCCGGCAGCTCTCGTTACTGATCAGTCTCCGCAAGCTGTCGGCCATGGTCACACCGCGATGGAGAGCCGAGGATGGGTGGCTGGGACTGGGCTGGGGGGACTAGCAGATGATCCTCTCCCCGGGTACTCTACATCAGCAGCCCCAGGGCGCTACACAGGGAGTGGGGACCCCCCGGCTGCTGCTGCCACCGCCTCCAGCCTGAGCTCAGCGCTGCTCCCTCCTGCAGCCGCCGGCCTAACGGGGGCATTTATACTCCGCGATTGTTAGACACACTGACGTGTGCTGTGCTCGGATGCCAGGGACGCCACGGCTGCGCGAAGGGGCCACTTGTTCGTTGTAGCAACGCAGTGAACCCGCCTCCCTGTGCCCAGCCTCGCCCTTTCCACGCAGAAGCTTTAAATCCGGAGGCGGGGAGGATTTCTAGCTAATCCCTATCTCCGCGCCGTGAGGAGGAAGACTCCAGAGGAAGGTGTTTTCATCTGGGAAGGGGCAGGTCAAAGACGTGCGGTGCAGGCGAGTAGTTTCCTCAGGACGCCCTTCCCAATACCGCCTTTCCCTCCCTATCCCGTCTCCTCTCCTCTTTTCCGCTTCGAGACACTCGCTGGTTTCAGTTCAAAGCACCTTTAAGGCGCCGCAAGACAACATAGTAGCCTTTGTTACGCATAACACGTGCAATTTAAATTGGATAATTAAAACACCGTGGGACTTTTTTTTTATCCTCGCCTTGTTCCGCAAGCAAATCTCACACAGTCACATCCAGCAGGCAAGGCTGTAAGGCTGAAATCTGGCCAATGTAGATCCGCGGGACAGAGGAAACGCGCCGCTGCTGTTGCTTTTGCCTCTAACCTCGCCTAAGTTTTTCTGTCTGTCTCCTGACACGATTAAGAGCAAAGAGATCAGTTGATTCAAAAAGTGTTCCAGGCAGGATCTGGCTGTTTGGTTTTCTGAAACCTGTGAAAATGCTTCTGTTAGCAAAGAAAAGATATTATCTTAAAGAATTTGGCATAGCTCAGACAGACATAATATGCATCACAGATTAAGCAGACAGGATATAACAGAGGTCCCCCAAACTGTAGTCACACTAGACTACTCAGAATCTGCAAAACACTTTTGGTCACAGAGAGTATATCTACACTACAAATTTAGGTTGAATTTATTAAGGATGACTTTTTAGCATTAATATGGAGAAATGGTCTGAGGTAAACAGGTTGAAGTTTAATTAAGAAAAATGCAAAATGCTTCACTTAGGAAGGAACATACATACAGTTTCATACATACAGAATGGGAAGCGACTGTCTAGGAAGGAGTACTGCTGAAAGGGATCTAGGAGTTATAGTGGACCATAAGCTAAATATGAGTAGTCAATGTGATGCTGTTGCAAAAAAAGAAAACATGATTCTGGGATGCATTAACAGGTGTGTTGTGAGCAAGACAAGAGAAGCCATTCTTCTGTTCTACTCTGCACTGGTTAGGCCTCAGTTCGAGTATTTTGTCGAGTTCTGGGCACCACATTTCAAGAAAGATGTGGAGAAATTGGAGAGGGTCCAGAGAAGAACAACAAGAATGATTAAAGGTCTAGAGAACATGACCTATGAAGGAAGGCTGAAAGAATTGGGTTTGTTTAGTTTAGAAAAGAGAAGATTGAGGGGGGACATGATAGCAGTTATCAGGTATCTAAAAGGGTGTCATGAGGAGAAGGGAGAAAACTTGTTCATCTTGGCCTCTGAGGATAGAACAAGAAGCAATGGGCTTAAACTGCAGCAAGGGAGGTTTAGGTTGGACGTAAGTTCCTAACTGTCAGGGTGGTCAAACACTGGAATAAATTGCCCAGGGAGGTTATGGAATCTCCATCTCTGGAGATATTTAAGAGTAGGTTAGATAATGTCTATCAGGGATGGTCTAAGTCAGTAGTTGGTCCTGCCATGAGGGCAGGGGACTGGATTCAATGACCTCTCGAGGTCCCTTCCAGTCCTAGTATTCTATGATTCTATGATTCTATATTTACAAAGTCTCACTGGGCACATGAGGTGAACAGAGGGCATCCCCACTACTATGGCTACCTTCCACTTTTACAGTGATGCATTGTGAGTAACCATCTCACAGTTCCTGATGCTTATTTATATTCTGAGTTAGGCTTTCAATGCTTGTTGAGACAAAAATACTGCAGTGGGTGGTTCTGGGGACATATTTTCAGTGTCCCATAATGCACTTATCTTCTCCCTCCCTGCTTGAAATCAACAGCAATCTTTTTGCACCCTTTTTTCTCTGGTTATCCATGCAGATGCTATAGCATGACAAGCATGGACCCCTGCTCAGCTGCAAATTGTTGTGGCAGGTATTGCAAACACCTTGCATGTTATGTTGCAGTTTGTCCAGAACCTAGCCAGAAGCCAATGGCAAGAGGAAGAATGTGAGAAGGCCACAAATACAGACACACAAGAACCAACTGAGTGGAACAATTGGCATATACTGGCAGTAGCCAGACCTGTTGACAGAGTGGAATGCTGATTCTGGTCCTGGGAGACAAGCACAGACTTGGGAAGGTTTCATTTTAACTTTCCCAAGCACTCATTAATGGATCTCAAAGTAACGGTATTGTTTCAGGCCAGACTAACCATTTGCCTCCCAGTGCGCTTTCCTGACCTTCTTTATTTCCATGCAGCACTGCTGGGTGTCCCTGGTGTATCCTTTTTCCACCATGCAATTTTGGCATATACATCAGCATTTTTTCTGCTGCTTCAGAGTCCTGCCTGCACAGATTTCTCTCCCCACAAAGCAGACCGATCCAATATCTCCTGCATGCTCCATGCTGGAGTTCATTTGCAACACAGGGCATTCATAGTGGGTTGTGCCACTGAGGTGTGCTGCTGGGTTCGCCATGCTGGCCAAACAGGAAATGCTTATTAGCTCTAATATCACAATCTCACTGGGGAGAGAGACCAAAAGAGAGAAAAGTAATGATTGTTGACTTAACTCTGATGTCACAATTCCACTGTCCAATGTGATATTCATGGAACTGAAGCAGAAGATAGACCTTGGGAGCTATGCTGCCTGCCAGGGGCCCATATCTGAGACATTACGGAGGCATTGTCAAGCATTATCCAGCCCTCTGACTACTACCAATGCTATTCATCCACATGGGCAATAATGATACTGCAAGGTGTGACACTGAGCAGATCAAGAGTAACTACAGGGCTCTGGGAATATGGGTGAAGGAGTTTGGAGCACAGGTGGTATTCTCTTCAATCCTTCCTGTCAAAGGTAGGGGCCCAAGCAGTGACAAGTACATCCTGGAGGTGGATGCCTGGCTGTGAAGATGGTGTCTCCAGGAGGGCTTTGGCTTCCTCGACCACAGGATGCTATTCCAAGAAGGATTGCTAAGCAGGGATAGGATTCACCTTTCGAGGGAGGGGAAGGCTGTATTTGGATGGAGACTGGCTAACCTAGTGAGGAAGGCTTTAAACTAGGTTCGACAGGAGCAGGTGACCACTATTAAATGAAGAACATGGAGACCTGGGAGATGGGTGAGAAATGGGAGGGTGCATGGGCTATAACAGCAGAAAAAAGGAGGGACAAGGCAGAACTGGGAGGCAAGATCAAATCAGTATTTTAGATGCCTATATATACAAATGCAGGAAGTACGGGTAATAGGCAGGATGAACTTCAAGTGCTAATAAATAAACACAACTATGACATAGTTGGTATCAGTGATTGGGTGGGATAATACACGATTGGAATATTGGTATAGAAGGGTACTGTTTACGCAGGAAGGATAAACAGGGTAAACAGGGAGGAGGTGTTGCCTTATATATTAAAAATATATACACTTGGACTGAGGTGGAGATAGATGTAGAAGACAAACTTGTTGAGAGTCTCTGGGTTAAAAGGGGTAAAAAAACAAGAGTGATGTCATGCTATGGGTCTACTACAGACCACCTACCCAGGCAGAAGAGGTAGATGAGGCTTTTTTTAAACACCTAACAAAATCATCTAAAGTACGGGATTTGGTGGTAATGGGGGACTTCAACTATCCAGTTAGTTACAGTAAAACTCCAATTGTCAGGCATCCAGTGATCTGGCACTCCCGATAGTCCGGCACCAACTGGAACCCGGAAATGCTACGGCAGCTGTTTCAAGAAGTTGTTAGTCAATTACAGTACAGTCGGGTGGATCTGCAGGTGACAGGCTCACAATTTATCTTTCCTCTACTGTCTCCGGCAGGGGAAGGGATCGGCGGGGAACAGGTGGATCTGCAGGTGACAGGCTGCTGCTGAAACTGACAAGAGATCGTCTCCCCTCCCTGTCCCTGCTGCTTTTACCAGTAGACTCCCGATAGTCCAGGATCAAAAGAGAAAGTGAGTGAGCTTGAGTGATCCTGGACTATCGGGAGTCTACTGGTAAAAGCAGCAAGGACAGGGAAGGGAAAAGATCACTTGTCAGTTTCAGCAGCAGCCTGTCACCTGCGGATCCACCCGTTCCCCCCCCACCCCCGCCCCCGCCGCAGTAGAGGAAAGATAAATTGTGAGCCTGTAATTGACTAACAGCTTCTTGAAGCAGCTGCCTGCTTCTCACCCCCT